ACCTTATTCAGGAGGGAAGTTCTCAGTATCAGTTACCCAAGAGTTACTCATGCTACAAGAACTCTGACCAGTGATAATTTTGGCTCACTTTAACATACTTTCATAAACATGTTATTTACATTCAAATTATGTTATTTTCAATCACCTTTATGACTTATTAAAATACTATTTAATATTAGCCATTTTTCTAATTAATACCTTTTTTCTAGTTAGTTATTGGGAATTATTTTAAGTATTTATTTTCCTTCAGGAACAATTCTAGTTGTTCTATCAAACCTAAGAAAGGAAAGTGGAGAAAGAAGAAATTAGAATGAGAGGCTCGTGTGACTGATGAATGGATCACACCATTAATAAAGAAGGAGAGTGGTTTTTGTTTGTTCTTAATTAGCATCATAAGATTTTTCTTTCTTAGTGGTATGTAAAATAATCATGTGTTTTAAAATCAGTCACTGTGAATTCAGTGAAATGCAAATTATATGCTCTACTGATGAAATAAGAGGAAAAAAATATAGGGAAGTAAAGAACAGATTTTAACATCATCTTCAATATTGACTTATTAATCACTAAATTTGCCATCCATTCATCTTCTATTATGAACTCTAAGGAAAGGTAATAAAATAACTGTTTGAGAACTAAATTGTCTAACACTTAACATGATTATATTAGCTTGTGGAAATTTAATTTCACTTTTGCAAAAGATGTGGCTAGGTATATGCACTGCAAGTTACCTCTGGGCAGCATGATCCCTCTGAATCACTGCTGCTAAATGTGTGTGTGTGTGTGTGTGTGTGTGTGTGTGGTGAAACACATTTGGTATTAAGGGGATCTTTCCTGTGTTTGTCTATACAGAATAAACTATATATTTAAATGTAGACTTTTAGAACTGGGATAAAATTGAATAAATTTTAGAGTTTCTTCAATATCTAATCTTTGTCTTCCATTTTTGTCATCTCTTTCAATAGTCTCCGAAACAATGCCCAGAAAAATTAATTTATTCATTGAAGTTTACACAGTTAGATAGAAACATACACAAGATTACAGTCTTTCACCAAAGGTTCAGGGTTCTTTCCATTATACCAAATTATCCCATGACAAACACACACACACTTTCACAACTAAACCCTTCATTTTCCCAGTTGGTAAAAAGGTTAGCATTCGAGTAAGTTCCTTTCCAAAAAAAAAAAAAAGGCCTATTCATTCGTGGTTACACCCCTTTCCCAGGGATTACCAGTGTCCAATAACTTGTTGATACAAGAGTGTAAGGTTCACAACCATTTGCTTAAATTGGGGACAACTCTGAGGAGTCATCCTAGCTTCAGATCTCCCTCTGTGATTACCTGGGGTAGTTTAATTGCGTAGAGTTTAACTTCTGCCTCTGTAGACCCTGCTTTCTTCATTACCCAACAGGCGCTCTACTTATTTTTGTCGCTCTCATGAAAATAACTATTCTTCAGATGTGATGTTAGGTAATTTATACAAGGTAGTTCATTGAATCTTAACAGTAATTCTGTACACAGATACAGGTATGAAAATAAATCTTTCTTTCACAGATGAGGTAACTGGAAATTAATTTGGGAAAGATTTGCCATGGCCACTTAGCTATAAACTGATTCTGGTTGACTCTCCCATTAGACTTCAAAGCTGCCTAGATGGAGGAGTTGGTTCTCTTATGAACAGCACCATTTCCCATTATGTAATGTAGAACCTTGCTCTCAGTAGAGGTCAGTAAATATTTCTCAGATCAGCAAAGGAACACTTCTATGTCTGACCACAAATTCATGCCATTAGCCCTGAACTGTGCAATCCCTCATGTACATCATGAGCCCTGGACTTAAGGATGAACATCTCAAGAACCAAAAAGAAAAAAAATGTCTAAGGTGTCAAAAGCAAACTATGGTTAAAAAAGAAAAAAAAAAGGAATGGGTGATTTAAATATCTTTTTAAGAAATTGGAAGATATTTATTTTGTTTCTTTTTATGGTAGATGCTCATGTACCTTGTAAGTATCAGAATTTATACCAGAGAAGGAGCACTGAAGCTGCCTGTGGGATGGACTTATTTGATCCCTTTCAATACATCTTATTAAAACTTCATATTCAATTTAATGTAGTATCCCAGGAGGGTTAAAATGACCACATAAAGAAAACAATGAATATTTCCCCAAATGTAATGTTAAAGTAATGGAAAAGAAGTTTCCACTCCTCTCCTCAACTTTCCTAGGCAGGCAGTCAGTCAGTTCAGTCGCTCAGTCGTATCCAACTCATTGCAACTCAATGGACTGCAACACACCAGGCCTCCCTGTCCATCACCAACTCCTGGAGTTTGAGTCAGTGATGCCATCCAACCATCTCATCCTCTGTCGTCCCCTTCTGTTCCTGCCTTCAGTCTTTCCCAGCATCAGGGTCTTTTCCAATGAGTCAGTTCTTTACATCAGCTGAAGATATATAGATAGGAATATTTTTTTTTTTTTTTTCCTCCTCTCTGAAGCCCCCTTGACCACTGTCAGTGCCACCACCAGGGGAGACACAGAGGCCTTTCTCCAGAGCTCCTGCCATTACCTACACATACCTCACCACTGTTGTTTGTTGTTTAGTTGCTAAGCCATGTCCAACTCCATGGCGACCTCACAGACTGCAGCCAGCCAGGCTCCTCTGTCCATGGGATTCTCCAGGCANGAGTCAGTTCTTCGCATCAGCTGAAGATATATAGATAGGAATATTTTTATAATGAATTTAACATTGTCTCTTTTTTTCTGAACAAACTTTTTTTTCTCAGTGTATTTTACTCCCATGGTTTTTCTAACATTTGGATGTGATAATAAGCAGAGTGTTTGAAGATCTGTCAATAACTGATTCTATGGTTAAGTAAGCATCTTACAGAAGTCAAGTCACAAAGATGAAGAGAAAATAAAATCTCACATTTCTATGTTGGTCCAAATACGTACATTTTGGTAAAGAGCCAAGAAAAAGCAAAAAAATTTTCTGAAAAATGATTCAAAATATCTTATTTTCTTACTCCCAAGAAAAGTTCCAAAACATCTTCTGTAAGTCATATAATGCTTCCTTCAAACAACCAGATAACCAGCCTATGTTTACTGGAAATCAATGGAAGAGTTAAAATGGCAAATTAGAAGTAATGGAGAGGATCTGGTATAAGTAAGCACAAATTAAAAACTGCAAACATTAAAAAAAAAGTCTCAGTCTAAAATCCCTAAGTATAAGGACACCTTTAAGATCCCTTAATAGACCAGATATAGGAGAAGTAGGTGAGCTGAGGTTGCCTCTTTGTGGTGTATCAGCAAGGACTTGAATTACAGGATGAGGGAAAACAGAAACCAAAGGTGATATATAGGTATTGGCCTGATAATGGTACTATTATTGAGAAGGAGAATTTTGGGTTAAGAATAAATTGCAGAGTCAAGATCAAGTTTGTGTGTGTGTGTGTGTGTGTGTGTGTTAGACTAGGAATGTTAATTAGTCAAAGTGATGATGTCTCGATAAGTAAATTAGGGCTCAAAGTAGAGATCAGGCTTGGAGAAATGGCTTTCTAGGGAACAATGAAAAGTTGAGTACTTAAAAACTATGCCATTTAGAGGTCAAGTACACAGAGATTTTCATTGGCCTTTCAGCATATTTTGTACTAGCCTCTTGCCTTGTGCCCTATTTTCCTCTCTCAACTCTTTCTGCACTCTCCCCACCTTCCTTTAGCAATAATAAATCCTTCATTTTTGCCCCAGAGCAGGAACCCAGCTAGTCAGTTTCTAGCTCAGTATATTTTTCTAAACCAAGACAGTGCTTTCTTCAAGAGGAATTCTGGTACCAGCTTGTAATCTTTGGTTCCCCTACCACATGATCTGATAAGCTATGTCCTATTCCTATCATTAGAGTGTAAACTTCTTGAGAAGTGAGAAAGAAGATGGATGTATAGTCATGGACCCGATTTTGATTAATAAAATGCATCCAAAAGTTTAAGTGAAACACGTGCTGAGATTTCTTGTAAGTGTTCTCTGTAGGTCAATGGAGTGACTTTTCATTACTTTCTTAAATGTTTAGATTATCACTCTGCTGATACAAATTATTATATTGATAACTCTAAAACTCTGAGCACACACTCAAATAAATATAGCATATTAAATCCAATGAAAGATGTAAAGCTTCATATATGGATGTTCATTACTTATTAAGATAACATGTATTCTCTGAGAAAACTGAATAATTTAAATTTAGGAAATTATCTAAACAAATGTCAAAATGCCTTTTTGTTCAACTCTGAAGAGAAATGAGCTATTAAGCTGTTAAATGACATCAAGAAACCTCAAATGCGTATTAAGTGAACAAAGTCAGTCTGAAAAGACTACATACTATATGAGCCCAAGTACATGACATTCTGAAAAAGCAAAACTATGGAGACAGTGGTTGCTAGTGGCGTGAGGAGGAGGGGAGAGGTGAGTAGGCAGAACATGGGGCATTTTTCGGGTGGTGAAAATACTCTGTATGATAATATAATAATGGTTATATGTCATTATAAATATGTCCAAACTCATAGAATGTAGTACTCCAAGAGTGGACCATAAGGTAAGCTGTGAACTTTGGGTGATTATGATGTAGGTTCACCATTGGTAAAAAGTAGCACCATTATGTTGCTAATGAGGAAATTTGAATGTGTTGAGGGCAAAGGGTGTATAAAAAATCTCTATACCTTCCTCTCAGTATTGTTGCCAACTTAAAACTGCCGTTTAAACAAATATGTTAATAAATGCTTCTTAAAGTCAAGATAGTTAATAGTGGTTAAATCATTCATTTGACCACTATTTATAGTAGGATTGTGCTGGGAAATGTAATCTAATGGAAAAGAGAAGAGAAGTCTATTGGTGTTTTTCAAAGCCTGGTTGAAAACTTAGGGTTTTGGAAGCAATTGTGAAAACACCACTCTGTATTCTGTGTGTATGCTGTGAACGTACTTTTTTGAAGGCATCTTTTCTTTTCCATGTCTTTACCACAGGCTACATATCGAAATCGAATTGTGAGCCAAAATCTCAGCACAAGGGACAGAAAAATAATGCATACTCCCACCGAGGACCATTTTAGATACCCAGCAGCGGACCAGACAAGCCCGTACAAAGGCAAGGCCTGCCAACTCCCCAGCTTATGTCTAAGCAGTTTTTTGAAGGACAAAGAACTAGTCGAAGTTATCAAACACTCAAGAGGAACTTATGAAACCCTCACGTCAGAAGTCACCCAGAATTTACGGGCCACGGTAGGGCAGAACTCTATGAAGCCAGCAGCTAAGACGGAAGGGCTCACCACGTTCTCAGAGAAACCAAAGGACCAAGCTGCTGCCACCCGGCAGCATTCAACCTTTACAGGAAGGTTTGGACAGCCGCCGAGAGGGCCAATCTCTTTACACATGTACAGTAGGAAGAATGTTTTCCTGCATCACAATTTACACTCAGCTGAGCTGCAGACTCTGGGCCAGCAGGACGGGTAATGAAATCGCCCTATTCCTGTCTCTGGGTAGGATAAGATGATTCCTGTCTCTGGGTAGGATAAGATGGTTAGTGTTTCTCGTGCATAGCTCATTTTTAAAGTTTCATGTATTTCTTATTACTTTTTAGTTTTAGTTATAAACAAAGAATTTTACTTTTTTTTTTTTTTTAGAATGAGGGTTCAAGCATGTTAATTGAATTAGGTTTAATAGCTTTGGAGACTTTATTATCTATATGTAAAATAAATGAAACCATCTCACTGTTTTATACAGGCCATAAAATTTATCTTTTATCTTCATCAGTCACTGATATGCATTGAAGTTTCAGAAGGTAATATCAAATAGCACTCTGTTCACTTAATGGTGTTACTATGAAAATAGATGTGAGGAATAAATAGATAAAGGAACTGTAAGAAATTTTAAATTACATAGTTAATAGAAAGAGAAAAAGAGGGATTTTAAAGTGTTATATTTGGTAGTGTATTTATTTAAGAATGAAGCTTACTTGCATGTAACCCAGAGATAACGTTTGTCTCTCTATTACATACAGTCAAGCTTATCTTGCCATATGATTAAGGGGGAAATAGTATTTCTTTTATCCTCTAAATGTTTAGTTCATACTAGTTCACAAAGGATTTCAGACTGAGTAATTGCTAGCCAAATAGAGGATGACAGCTCTGATCTTCGAAAAAATTTGCTTTTAGTTTTTGCTATTGATGTTGAAGTACTATGACATAAGACACTGAGGTGGGAATGTTGGCTAAATTTTGTCAAATGATGCAGAAAGCATGACATGCTACACTCTTTGAGTCACTGTCTTGGTTCTATCACCTTAGTTTTTTACAATGTGAGGAAAGGAATACTCTAAGAAAATTATTTTACTTCACCTTCCTTGTATTAGTGTATTTTTCATTTAATTTTTAATCTGTGTTCAGTTTTGCTTTATATACATTAACCCATATCAAGGACCACATGAAGAATTGAGGGATAGAATGTCAGTTTCTTGGTAGCCCAGTTTACACTATTTTGTATATTCAGTCATCTAGATTTACAGGAAAAAGTAAAATATATGCAAACTTTGGTGATTTGATCTTAGAAATAAATCTCTAACAGGAATTCTGAATTCATTTGATGGCAAATATGTCTCTTTAACAAACAAGGTGTAATGTTTTATATGCAACTGCACATGAGATAAATAATTCCTTTATGTTTAATTAATAGAGCTATATAAATAAATTAATAAATAATTTTTAAATGACCAATAGGAATCAGGGCAGCAGTTTTCTTACACAAAGCTAAAAGCTAATTACTGAATCCATAGTAGGCATAGTTTATGTAAATTGAAATTGTCATACCTACTGCATGATCTGACTCCCTTGCATTCTAACAAACCGAATTTATGAAATGAATAAAGGGAAACTGGGATAGCCATTTTAGCATGGCAGCTGACTAACCTGCTAAAATTAAAGCTATGCTGAAATGCTTCTCCTAAAGCAAAAGTGTATTTGACTCTGTGCTTTGGGGAAAAAGCATTAGATATCCCCCTGCTAGCTTTAACTATTAAACTCTGACCACTTTTCAAACTTTGATTAGAATTGATAAGAGTAAAGAGTTTAGTGGATACACTGTACTTATAATTTTGGTTTTCCGAAGAACACATGTGCATCTAAGACAAATGTTTGCCAAATGTTTTCTTTCTTTGTGTATTTGTAATTCTGCCAAAAGAGAATAATGCACACTGCAATTTGCTTGGCTTAATGACACTGCAATCTAAAATTCCCACTATACTTTACATGTTATAATAATTCATTCGGATAGGCATTTTGGGCTGAACGGTATTTATGAAATGATAGAAAAATTTTGATTATTAATTGTGGAATTCAGCTTCATTTGTCCTGAAAGTTGGTGTGTGTTGCTAGAGTATTTGAAGTCTGTAAATAAATTAGCACGGTAAAATAATCAAGGATTTTTTCCCAGGATATGGAAGAACTATGTATCACAAATAATGTTTTTGATTTGGACTTTTGGAGTTTATAGTTTTGCTTTCCTGGAAGATAGACTTTTGAATTATACTTTGTAAAAAAAATAATCTATTTAAGAAAATCTGTCATTTAATAGACATTTTAAGAGATGTTTTAAATGCTAGTATTTTCTTGAAAAACCTTTTTTAAAGCTGAAACATTCAAAAAGAAAACTTGGATTAAACAGTTCAATTTTAAAAGGAAGGATATTTTTTGGAAATATCATCTTAAAGCTGTTTTGTATTAGTATTTTCAGCATTGTTATAATATTATTTGTAATACTAAGTGTAACTCAGGCCTGGAGAAGTTGTAAGCCCACTATTGCTAATGTACATCAGTAACTGTAAAACAGGGGATCTTTGTAAGTTTCTCTTGTGTATATAGAGTACTCACATGGGCATTCTTTCAACAAATTGATTTCTTTGTACTAAAATCTCTAGTTTTCTAAGACAGTTCCATGTATAAAAATGATTTATACATTTCTCCAAGGCAGTACATATCCAAAGACATGACACCAGGGGGAAAAAGTGCTTGTTTTTCTGACGGAAGCAGTTGTCTTTTCTTTCCCTTTCTTCTTCTGTGCATGTGTATGTGTAGCTAAGCCTAAGTAACTCTGTAAAATTTCTGCTGCAGATTTTCTCCTCTGAATTTAGAATGTGTTTTAAAGGACACTTAAGAAGAGATAGTCCTTGAGAAAAAGCTGTTTCCACCTGAAATAAACTGTCTTCGTTTTTTAAATCATTGGAACATGCAACTATATTTCTATGAACTCAGTGATTTTGTTCAAATCATTTTATATGCGCTCTCAAACTGTATTTTCTTGTTTGAAGCACCACAGTCCTTGTGCAGGTGACACCGTGAAACTGTAGCTACAGTGCTAAAGGTGGGAACCTATCAATATCAGTATGCTCAGGGTGAGGACATAGGGCCACACATCATTTAAGTTGTTTTGTTTTTTATTGGTTGACATATAAATAAAACAGCCAGCCACTAATCAGCAATAAACATTTGTAGATGTGCTCATATTTACTTAAAATGTTTACAAAGATTTTCCTAATTAATGTGGGTTGATAACCTGTGTTTTACACCTTGTATTTTCCAAGATTTCATCCTAGCCTGTTGTCATTAATTTTCTGAGTGTTACTGAATTCAAAGTAATTAACTGAATTCAAAGAAAACTTCACATTTTGTTCCACTTATCTCATGTGTGTTTCATAGGGATACTACTTCCCCTAAAAAGAGTTTAGATTTTCTTTTTATTATCATGTATTTAATCACCACATCCCCAAGATTAGTGATTATAGTCCACTAGTCCTCCCAAGACCTTTCTTAACATCTTAGATACCAATAGAATAGCAGGAGCAGTCTGGTGAGTACAATTTCTCCACAATTACCCACATCCATTATCACTTTTCTCATTTTTAAGAAGTAATAACCCATTGTTGTGGGTAACCTGGAATACTAGGTGTAATCTTATAAACTTTATTTTGTTCCATATTTCTACTTTCAAAACTTTAGATTCCAAATATCTACAGAAGTAGACAGTGCTTCAAAACAGCACTTACAACTCCACTAAATCACCGTGTAGGTCAGTGAGGAAAAAGAAAGGAAAATGACTGTTGAAGTGCAGTGTATGATTGCCCTTCTCATCCCTAAATCACACTCCCCATAACCTGAGACTTTTCCTTGGTGATATATCTGTTTAAATATAGCATTGATTCATTTATCCTAGTATTTTGATTGCATTCTGTGACTTGACTCTATTTAGGCCTTATTATCAGGTTTTTATTAGTAGTATATTTTTTTAACCCCAAGAATTAATTCAATCAGAGATAAAATTTCTTTGGTAATTTACTCCTCCTAGAATGGGAACTTTTTTCCCTTGTTGTTTTTCCATGTGCTAATTTTATCATGCCAACACTAGGCTATGTCTACATACATAGCAGGGATTATAGAAAACATGAACAATCTGGGTTCTTATAAAAAGCTGAATTGCACCATAGTCTAAAAGAAAACAGACAGCTACCAACCAACTAAACAAAGAATCCCACTTATCAAACATTATACATTATTTAAGCATTAGTCACTCAGTTGTATCCGACTTTTTGTAACCGCATGAACTGCAGCCCACCGGGCTCCTCTGTCCATGGGATTTCCCAAGCAAGGATAATGGAGTGGATTGTCATAGCCTTTTCCAGGGAATCCTCCAGACCCAGAGATTGAACCTGGGTATCCTGTATTGCAGGCAAATTCTTCACCATCTAAGTCACCAGGGAGATTTCCTAACATTATACATTAGCAGTGCCAAATTTTTATGTCTCAATTTGTGTCAAGTTCTTTTACCAATAGTTAGAACCATAAGTATATCTACCAACTTTTTTTTTTTTTTTACAATAAATCTGATCTTGCTCAGAACCCAGTTGCTCAGTACCAAGTAGTTAAGCCCAGAAGTATTTGTCAAAGATACCATTTTCCAGGTGTGTTGTCTATGAAAAAAGAATGAAGGCAGTTCATTTCAGACCTGAAAAATTTCCCATAGAAATTAAAACAATGAAAATTCTTAATACAGAGTGGGTTTCTTCCACCTAGGTAAGTAATCTAGAATATGGGATCTCATGATTCCTTCTAGAGAATGTGTAGTATAGCCCCATTGACTTCACTAGTTTAATCTAACAAACATACTTTTCCTTTTGAAAACAAAATTCAAGACAAAGAGGCATCCACATCTTATCAGCCTTTACAAAGATTACCTCATTCCTTTGGTAAGTTCAGGTCATTGTTACAAAATGCCATGACCAGGTGGCTTAACAATAGACATTTATTTACCACAGCTTTAGAAACTAAGACAAGCTGCCAGCTGGTTCAGTTCTTGGTTTACAGACAGCTATGTTCTTCTCCTGGAGGAGGAAATGGCAGTCCACTCCAGTCTCCTTGCCAGGAGAACCCCATGAATAGTATGAAAAGGCAAAAAAATATTACATCAGAA